AACAATTATGGCTTCGATAGCAGCAGGCCTGTCTCAGGCTCTTCCGAAGCCAAAGTACAGCGGCGAATACGAAGAATCAAAGTCACAGCAACGCGGTCCCAGAATTGTCGGCGCCGGCCAAATTGACGAAACTCAAGTTGTGCTGAGGGTCAGTAACCGCACCCTCCACTATCCGCTTGCTTGCTTGCTTTCGAAAACCGGCTAATGCTAACATTCCGCTCTCCCAGAGAACCGGACCACCACCGTATGGAAATCGACAAGGTTGGCGACCGCGTGCACCAGAGGATTTCGGCGATGGCGGTGCCTTTCCAGAGATTCCCGTTGCTCAGTATCCCTGGGGCAAGGACGCCTCGAACAAGTCGAACGCGTTAGTTGTTCAGGTTGATGGAGAGGGCAAGATCGACTACACAGCGATTGCACGACAAGGTCACAGCAGCGACCGGGTCATTCACGCGTCATTCAAGGATCTGATTCCATTGCGACAGAGGGCCGAAGCGGGCGATCTTGACTTGTCACGACCGAGCAAAGAGGAGGTGGAAGCAACGGCGGAGAGGACCAAGAATGCACTGGCTGCGCTGGTCAGCGGCGCCGTGGCGTCCCAGAAGCCCAAAAACATCAACATCAATACGAAGCGAGAGCCGACGTTTGTGCGCTACACGCCATCAGCGCAGATGGGAGACAACTCCAAGAAGCAAGACCGTATCATGAAGATTGTGGAGCGACAGAGAGGTATGGCATCTAAGACTTGCGCATTAGCTGTGGGCGGTAAACTAACAGTTGGCAGATCCCATGGAGCCACCCAAGTTCAAGCACAAGAAGATTCCCAGAGGACCCCCAACTCCTCCCCCTCCAGTTATGCACTCGCCTCCGAGGAAGTTGACGGCCGAGGATCAAGAAGCATGGAGAATCCGTAAGTCATCTATCTGTCTCACAAGGAGAGTGGTCTACTAACAAGCGATAGCACCTCCTATTTCCAACTGGAAGAACCCCAAGGGTTTCACTGTCCCGCTCGACAAGAGATTGGCCGCCGACGGCCGCGGTCTGCAAGACGTGCAAATCAACGACAAGTTCGCCCAGTTCTCCGAAGCCCTCTTCATGGCCGATAGACACGCCAGAGAGGAAGTCCGACAGAGAGCCATGATGCAGCAGAGGCTGGCTGAGAAGGAGAAGGCACAAAAGGAGGAACATCTTCGCCAACTTGCGCAGCAAGCCAGGGCGGAGCGCGCGGCCGGTGGACGGAGCAGGAGGTCACGATCCCGCTCTTACAGTGGTTCCGAATCTCGCTCCGAGAGCGATGACGACTCTGAGCGGGAGAGAAGGGAGGCGCGCAAGGAGAAACTTCGCGAGGAGGAGCGCAAACTCAGACAGTCGCGCATGGGTGCGGAGAGGAGAGCCCAGGTCATGGCCCGCGAGATGGACAGAGATATCTCGGAGAAGATCGCCCTCGGTCTCGCCAAGCCCACGCAGTCCAAGGAGGGCATGTATGACTCCCGCTTGTTCAACCAGTCTAGCGGTTTCGACAGCGGCTTCAACGAGGACAACCCGTACGACAAGCCTTTGTTTGCCGCCCAGGAAGCTATCAGCAGCATTTACAGGCCCCGTGCCAACGCGGAGGATTTCGACGACGAGGCGGCGGGCGAGAGCGAGATGGCGAGGATTTCGAAGTCGAACAGGTTCGGCGAGGCTCTGGGTCGTGGCACGTTCAAGGGTACGGCTGAGGCGGAGGCGCGGGAAGGACCGGTGCAGTTCGAGAAGGATACAGGAGCGGATCCCTTCAACGTGGACAAATTTCTCAATGAAGTGGAGAAGGATGGTGCTTCCTCGTCGAACAAACGCGGCTATGGGTTGAATGATGGAGAGAGGGACTCGAAACGAACGAGGATCGATGACGATGAGGACTAAGTCAGTGGCTCTAGGGTACTGAGAAGAGCCCATCGTGTTCTGTGATGTTCAATATTGGCTCGGGCTTTGTCGTACTGCATGTTAAGGAGTTTTGTTCACATGGGCGATTCAGACATAATGCAAGCGAAATAGGATAAAGAAAGTAGTACTTTGCCTGACCCCCGATCTAAGCCGAGATGATACATGTTTGAACTTGCTCTTTTACAGATTCCCGTCTTCACATGAAAAGTTTCCAATGCCATAACATGCTCAGCAACAAACAAAGAATGGAGATCTCTTCATCTACCCGTCCCCGAAACCGAGTCCCCGAAATGCTAGGGGAGCGTGGATCTATCCTCGTCCAATGCCTATATGTTATCGTAATTGTACACGAAGAAAAAAAAGCATCTATGCCACCCCGTTTTAACGCCGTTTCCCATATCCCAAGTCTTATGTCCATGTATACACACGCACGCACGCACGCCCAGTCTGCCTGTTACCTGCTTTTCCAGGCCTCATCGCCAAAGACCTATCCGGCCATTCCCCTGGCTTCTTCGACACCAAACCCAGTAGTAGTACATCAAGCCAAACCAGACCGGACCGAACCAGATCAGACCGAAACGTTCGTCACGAACAGAATCTAATCATCCTCCTTTTCTTCCATCTCTTCCACCTCTTCTCCTACTGTTCTCGCCCCTCCTTCCTTAGTCCTCCTCACTAGGCATCCTCATCCAAGCATCGATAGCCGCACTAAACGCCGCAAATCCCGCACACCCCACCGCCGCCGCTTGGGGACCTCCATTCTTCGCCAGAATCGCGCCCGTCAGACATCCAGCAGCAACACCATTACCAAGATCATTCTTGGCCCTCAATCCTTCAATACCGCACTCGATACCCGAAAACAGGGCACCGACCTTGGCGAAGTTCTTGGCTGTGCTGTACGATCGCTGGCCCATGTCCTTGAAGCCGTGTTTGAGCTGCTCCTTGAGCGGCATGGACGAAAGGTCGACGGGCTTGTAGCCCGGGATTCCAGCGGCCGCTGGGTTGGCGCCGGGGCCGGTGCCGGGGGTGGTGGGGGAGTGGTAGGGGGTGTCATATGCCATCTGTTGGTAGTTAGTTAGTTGGTGGGGTGAGAGAGGGAAAGAGAAGGGGAAAGGAAGAAAGAAAACGTACCGAAGCCATAAACATTCCAAAAACACCACCTAGCGCGAAACCGGCGCCTCCGCTCATGACGGTCTTTGCGAAGCATGATTCCATGGCTTTTTGCATCTGTTACATTTTCGTCATCTCGTTAGCATCATCTCTTTTTCGCAATCTCTCTTTCGATCCTCTCTCCCAACTATCCAAGTAGTCTCCCTATCAACATCACCCGCCCGCCTGCCCGCCCGCCCGTCCGCCTGCGCGCGCCTTTTGGCTAGGACTAATCTATGCGATCGATAGCCAAACACACAGACAAGACCATGGACATAATGTAATAGCTCTTGGACCTAGATAGCTCCAGCTTGACAAGCCTTGACTACCATAGCCACCGCCACCACCACCACCACCATCACTACCTCCTCCTCCTCCTTTTCCTCCTCCTGCACCACAGCAATAAAATAAGAGTCCAGGTAGGGTGACTACTAACCATCTTAATGTTCGGATCATTAGGATCGTACCCTCCAGGCGCAGCACCAGCACCAGCACCACCGGGCGCAGCACCGCCAGGCATACCAGGGAAGTTCATCTTGTCTGGCTATTTGTTTTCTTTTGTTTTCTCGGTTTTTCTCGGTTTTAGGTTATAGGTTCGCGCAGGCTTGTCCGGCAAGCAAGTAGGCTAATCTGTTCTCGTCTTGTCCTTTTCTTTGATTCCTCGCGAACGTCGTTTATCCGCTCAAGCGTTCGTTTGTTCGTCCGTCCGTTCGTTCGTGGGTTCGTGGAATCAAGGCTCGCGACAATGCGATCGAGTCGGGTTCGGGTTCGGCGGTAGAGGGTAGGTAGGACAGATTATGTACTTGGCCCACTTCTTCGTTGTGTGGTCGGTGATAAGGTACTGGTGACTACTGGACCGCGGTGGTGGCAACGACGTGATGGAAAGCCGACTTGGGATATGTTGCAAGGGGCGCAATCGCAATACAAGAGTCGAGAACACAGGACAGTACAATGGATGTCGGCTCAGTGGGACGTGAACTCTCGCTCTCGCTCGTCGCTCAGTTTGCACTGCAAGAAACTGTGGATGGTGATGGACGGTTCAGTTGAGCACTTCCAGTTGAGCGCTGAGCGGGTAGGTGGGCGTGGCGGGCGTGGGTGAATTGATAGGTAACTTTATCGCGAATCAATCCATCTGGGGAAACGGCTTATCGGGCATAGGAAAGATTTCTGCCTTGTCTCACCGCCTAAAGTTCGAACATCATACATACTTATTGCCCAGTACATACGGTAGTGTACATGCGTTACCGCCCCCCCGACGCCGTCCCTCGGCGTCCATCGCCCGGGTCCTACAACGGCAGTGAACGGCTCGCCCCACCGCGCGGACATCTTACCATGTGGGTCCCGCCCGCACCCGCACGACCCGAACTCAAAGCCGTTGTGGAGCAAGTGTTTCAGAGAGCCCTCAAGGTGCCCGTCGGTTCGGAAAAGAAGAATCAGATACACAAAGGCCATCATCACACTCTGAGCCCGACCATTGTTGCCCGAGGCCATTGGGTTGTTATGATCTATGTTCATTTTGTGTCCAATGCCTGGCAAGTAATATCTACTCGTACCCACACGCCTTGCCCATGCTTGCATGCCGTCCGTTGATGACATAACAGAACTTTCTAGGACTTTTAGGAGTATAAAAACGATAGCAACGGATGCACCGCAAAGATGCCCGACTACGGGACTTCCTGAAGACGAAAGACCGCTTACACCCACAGCTGCTCAACAGACGCCAGTGTATAAGCCAGCTCTTTCCCTTCTCAGCAAAACAAAGAAGGTTATTGCAAGCGCCGCCGCCCAAATGCCTGCCTGCTGAGCAATGTAATGTGTACACTCTGGCCGAACCGCGCACAGCCTATCCAGATAGAAACTTGGTCGGTAGTAGCTTGGACAGAAAACAGCAAGCACTTTCAAAAACCCTAGCACTATCCATATTACACTTATCCCTTGAGGAACAAGTCACCACCGCCATTTCGCGCCGACCTTGACCGATCAACGTGGTCCAGGCCAAGGTAGTCTTCTTTTTCGGCCTTCTCATACAGGATGTCGTCTATGCAGTAAACGAGTTAGTCATGACATTGGGAAAACGATATCGGTAGGTGCCACAAACCGTCTTGGAGATAGATGGGTCGTGAGAACTGAGCCCTCCTAACCACAGCGAACTTGATCTTCTCGAAGCTCTTGCCCTTGATTCCCAATCTCTTTTCGAGCCGCTTCTTCGTCTCCGAAAATGGCTCGCCCTGTGATGACCATTTGGTTAGATCTCAAAGCGTTCAAAAGGCGATGAATGTGAAATTACCTCTTTGATCAAGAATCTGAACGACATGCCGTGAGCCCTGCTCGGTTCGTTTTGGAAGTGGAAGACGGTTATATACTGGTTAGGATCAGTAACACCAATCTCCTCCTCGGGTTTCCGTTCAGCCACAACGGTGGTGTACTCGTTAATAGAGATAACAGGATAGTTTCTGTCGAGATCTCTGTACCACTTGTTGTTGCTGACTTCATATACCCGGATTTGGCCGGCCTCCTCCTCGCTAGGAATCTTGGCCTTCTTGACCAATGTCTCGATCAGGTCCTCAACCACACCACTCTTCGTTACAAGAAGATCGTATTGGTCCTACTGTAGCGTTAGTAACGTAAGCAGCCACCAATGTTACCAAGCTACTCACCTCTTTTGTGATGCCCTCGCTGAGCCAAGTGACCTTGAGGCTCTTCTTGGTGTCTAGCTCGGCAAGACTAATGTCGAGAACTTCGTAGTAAAGTGCGTCTGATAGTTGATTGAGGTTCATCTGCCCGTATCCCGGCGGGGTAAGAATCCTCTCTACCGTTTGGTTGGATAGCTTCTTGACTGCCGTCCTGGGATTGCCATTTGCACCATTGATGGTATAGAACCGAATATGAGTAGGCTCGACACCTATGTGCTCTCCAACCTTCTCCGATAGTTTGTCATAGCTCATCTTGGAACTCAAGACAAGCTCGAACTGTGGGTACTGCTGAACATCAGCTTTTTGGGGGTGAGGGCAGAATCTTACGACCTTGCGGTGGTACAAGAAGTCGTAATACTCCCTAGCATCCGTCAGCTTGTCCGAGGATTTAGCGTCTTCAGAAGGCTTGCTCTCGCCAAGACCAAGTCTTGACTTGTGCACATGGGTTCGCTGGAAGCAGATGATGTCTCCGTCCTGCAACTCCTCGGTCTTAAGAGTTTCCTTGCCTCGTAGCGGTTCCACCATCGTTGGCTTGATCTCCTCCCACAGCTGAATCTTCTCTCCACTGGGGACCTTTTCGCCCCAGCCCATTTTCTTCAGAATCACAGGAACCAGATCCTCGACCTTCTTGTCCAACCTCACGTAGACATGCCCAACGCCCCTCAATGTTTGGCTCTCCACGTCAAACCATTTTAGGAACAACAAGATGTTATCCTTCACAATCGCGCCATTAGCTTGTGCCTGATGCGATGGCCAGATGGGTTCACCGTCCGCGTTGACCTCCTCAGCCACTTCTGCCCACACACGTAAAGACTCATCCCGTTGGGCAGTAGCCTTGGAGTAGGTTTCCTCCACTGTAAGCGCAAGATCCATAATAGGAACGTCCGGGCGAACTGTCTTGTTCTGGCGATTCACCATTATCCACAACCGGACCCGTTTAGGATCTTGTCCAAGGTCTGCTGCAATTTTAGCGACCAACTGCTCCATGGTATCCTGGCGAAGAACACGATAGTAAATCGGTGCCCCGGGATCTTGGTCAGGAGTCGTGTCGAAGTAGGTCAGATCGGTACCGCCGTGCTCCTGGAACGTCGCTTCGGTGACGACCTTTACCCCTATATAAAGGTGTTGTTCCTCCCTCTCCTTGCGTCGGGCTTCACGAGCAGCCAGCTCCTCTGCGAACCTGTTGCGGAGATGTGGAGGTGTGTCCTCTTCGGTAACCTGGGTAAGGATCTGGTCGATTCGGGACTTGCGGATATACACGAGCATGTAAGCGCTATTGGGACGCATGATTGGTGTCTTCTTTTGAGGTAAAGTCCTAATTTGTCCATTCGGCAACCGGAAAGGACCGCCAAAGTTGTCTTCCAGGACCTCAAGCTTCCTGGCCTTGGTGACTTTGTCATCGTCGTACTTGTACCAATTTCCGTCCTTGGTGGGCTTCAGGAAAGCGTAATAGTGGCCGGTGTTAAGGTCCCCACTGTGTACCAGCACACCATGAAGCTCGTATTCCCAAGGTTCCGATCGATCGGCGTCTTTCTCGAGGAAGGGAGCGGCATCGAACTCCTCGGGAAACTCGTAGCGAGCATTGATCTTCATCATCGTGTCGCGCTGAATGTCGTATTCGAAGCGTTTCAACTGCAAATGCAGAACATCGGGAAAGCTCTGGAAGATGACGCCCTTGTTGGCATCCTGAAGTTTGTACTCGTCGCCAGCATAGTACTGGTTTTCACCGTCCAATTTTTCCACCTGGATGTAGTCCTGGAAACTCTCCAGCAGATTCTTATTGCCGCTGACGTTAAGTTGGACGTCCCAGAAATCTTCAACTCGACTGGATTCGTACGGAACGTTGATGCAGGAGATGAAGGTTTTGATCTTGCCGCTGAACATCTGTGCCAGGGCTTTCTCGTGTGGTGTGCCCTTCATCTTCTCCTCCATGCGTTCCATCAATTTCCGCGAGAGCTCCTGGACGTCTTGCTGTTCAAAAATATGACGAGTCTCCCATCCAAAAGACTTGGTAAGCTCACTGGTAGCCACGGCAGTATTTGATGTTTGCAACTGATAAAAGAGTCGTTGTAGAGTATAGGCGCTGTTCATCATGCTCTCGTCTTGCTCGGTAGGAATTTGGTAGATAATCTGCAAGCCAGTCAGCATGCGGGCGGGAAACAGAGCAAAAAGGAACAAGATGTTGATCTCTTTACCTTGCGGAAAGCATTGGTGAAATAGAGCGACTGTAAGAGTGAGTTCAAATAGCAAGTGGCGCCCTGGTTTTTGAGACCGACGTAGCCTGTCTCCTGCTTCGAATCGTAGTTGTTGAAGTTGTGCCACAAAACTCCTGTTTCATCCTCGACAATCCTGACATAGGCGCTAATGTTGACGCTTTCATTTTCGCCGAGAGGACGGCTTGAACCGTCATAAGGCTGACTGAACAGCCTCCGGAGTTCCAGAAACCGTGTAAAACCCCAATCGCTCTCTTCCTTGGTGAAACGGTGATGGGCGGAATGGTGGTGAAAGACGGAAGGGTCGTTAGGATTCCATAGCACGAGCGCAAACTGAACGCAGCAGCTCCATTTTTCGGGCATCTCGTCCGCTTCGAAGCCGTGTTCCAGGTATATCGAGCACTGGTCAACATTATTGCCATATGGGAAAAGAAGAATCCGCCTTTTGAACAATATTAGTATCCTTAGCAGACGTAAAGAAACCACCGAGGAATACTGACCATGGGAAGCCACCAGCATGGAAGATGGGACCATGCTCCTTCTTGTTGAGGTTGCGCCAACCCTTGATCTCCCACGTGTGAACCTGGTCCTCAAGGATTGGGGGTTCGTCGATTAGGGCTGGAAGGACGTGCTCTTTCATGGTTTTGTCTAGAAGAGCGTCAGTTGCAGAGCCCCGAGGAGGATGGAGGTTGTGTTGTTGTTGTTATCCAACTCACAGTCAGTGGCAAGGACGGGAGCCTCCTTCTCGTCAGCCTCCGGGGTGATGATTGCGACCTCGTCATTATCGACGCCGTTTGGTTCGACAATGTGTTCCTCGGGTGTATCGACCAACATGGCGTTGGGCGAGGGGGCTTGGGGGTTTTGGTCATCCTTGGTGCGGATAGGCAGATTAGCAACCCGGTCGTCAGATGGCGGGGATGGCGAGGGAGTCAGAAGAGCGCGGTTGGCGGGGTTGCCCATGTTGAACACCGAGGGGCAAGTAGAGGCAAACAACAGAGAGGAATGATATAACTAGACAGGCAACGGCTCGCGGGAGGATCGGGTCACGGTGCATGGGAAAGGTAGATAGATGTTGAGCTCGACTTGCTTCCCGAGCTGTTGAGGAAGATGGAGGGGAAACAAAAGGTGCGCGCGGGTGACGGTAATGGTGCTTCTGGTGCAGTGCATCAAAGACAGAGGACTCACCATAATGCCAGTGGGCTACAGCGAGTAGCTGCAGAGGTCAGAGTTGCAGGAAGTTGCGGATCGCGCCGGCGACAACGGGCGTACTGAAGTGACGACTGTCGACGCAACGTGGACTAAGCCTCGCTCCTTCCAAGCAGTGAGCTGCGTGGCCGGTGTGTGCTCCTTCCCGTCTCTTTCAAGGAAACCTGGTATGTACTGCGACTTTCGGCAGGCGATGCGGAGTCTTCGGGGAGGTTTGGGTCGGGCGGAGGATACTCTCGAAAGAATGACTGACTGACTGACTAAGAGCGCAAGTCGTCTGCAGGCCGGAGAGGAGACAAATCGGTCGTGGTGAGGAAAGCAGGTGGAAAGAGGATGGGAAGAGGAAAGAAAGGTTGGCGATATGGAGCAGCGCAGGCAGGCGCAGGTAGATCCTAGGTGATGCTAGACTGTGGTGGACTGTAATGGTGAGTCTTGGCCTTGCGTTGGTGGATGCAGCCAGAGGTCATGCAGTGACGGGAGTGGCAGTGAGGAACAAGGTGAAGAAGGTGGAAGTGTAGTGATTGGAGGTCACGGTTTCTTTCTTTCTTGTCTTGTCGAAATGGGTTTCTTCGATAGGTTCCGTCGCCCGCCGCGGTTGCCCGGCCGCGCGCTCAGTTGTTGAGTGAATGGCAGCAGAGTATATGGAATGTTACTACACGCAAGGTAACGGACATGTTGTTGACCTACAGACTTACAGTTCGTTTCTTCAGTCAGATGCAGTCCATGTATCTCTAGACATGGAGTTTAACATCCTGGCAAAACCGCGGTATCTGTGATCTCTTATAGAGCACTTCCTCTTTACAATCTACCAGGCACAATCGATTTTTTGAATCCATAGTGCTGAATTCAAGAGGTATTGTGGCCAGACTCCTCCGGTCACAGCAACTCCCTCTGTTCGACATTCATTGGGATCACAGTATTGTGGCTGTTGGTCCGGGCTGGATCACCCCGCGCCCGCGTAGGCGAGTTTCTGTGATGTTAGTATCAGGTTAGGCTACTTGTTAGCCAAGCCCGCACAACCTATCGCAAGCTGTGCTAAGCAGCCAGCTGATCTGCTAGTGCATAACATGTTCACTAGCCGCCGCTTCTAGCAAACTCGAAGCTCCCAAACTTGAATGACGTGAGAGATACCCAACCTGGTTCGTGGCCTGGATCTGTTCCTCCAGCTAACAGCTGCTGATGTGTTCAATGGGTACTCCATCAACACTTTTGACTGAGACCGGGCCAGAGGATATTCAGGTGTTATGGTGACAGGAGTATCGCGACCAACCCTCAGTCAAAGCACCGATCTGTTTGCATGCGCTTTCTCGACTACCCAAATCATTATTTGCCCGAATTTTGCGTTTTTATTTACACAGTACTTAGACGATTCATCAGTGTAGTGACGTAAGTATTGCCGGTTGATTGTTCAGTACGAATCTGTTCTCAGTGTTTCAAGGTGGCCAAGAACACAACAACCTGAAGCTCTTCAAATTCGCGCCAGAGCTGTGATAATAGACCTAACTGCCCATCTACCATATAATTCCGAGCTTAACATTTGGGCAACAACACTTCCATGTGTCTTGGGATTTTGAGGTCATCAGCACCTCCATTTCAGTTGACTGGATTCACCGGCTACCGTTTTTTTCACGTCCGTCGTTCGAATGACGTCCGATCAACTCAGTCGGCAAAGGCCGAGTGTGGGGTCGAGTAGCGAGGAGCAACTGTTCCCTTCGCATCCGTCACTCATGCATGCAGTGCGAGGACGTCCATCCAGTACTTGGACATATTGAACGAGGTAACTGCCCTAACGACGGGAAAATCTGGCTTAACATACCCAAGTATTTTGACACAAATAGACGCCAATTTGTCGTGGCTCCGTGGCTATTAACATTACATGTCACCGAGTGTTCGTAAACCAAAAGCATATGATATGATTTGGGCCACGGCAACCTAAAAAAGCTCCAAGCCCCTGACCCTCATCCCGCGCCCCCCTAACGTAAACACTAAACCAAGCTCGTGATAACCAGCGGGGCCCAGGGATCGATCCTACACTAGTGTAGAGGTGCATCTGGCTCCGATTATCGCTCTCCAACCCTGACACAACACGACCTCTAGCCTGATAATCTTGCGGCAACCCGACTCCAAGTTCCTTTTCCGTCTCTTCACCAAATTACTCTGTTTCGCATGGCACCGACGGTATGCCGTGCTTCTTGCTGCAAAATGCGAAGGCGCCCGTCCGGCTGATGTGCACGGCGGGAGACCTGGGCATGGTGGCGCGAAGAGGGACAAGCCGAGGACAGCTCCTCCTCAAGTGGGCGATGACTCGGAGCTGCACGAGCTCTACTTCAGTCACGACTCCAAGACTATCAGCAACACCAAGGGCACGAACGATATCTCCAACCCCTCAGACTCGATGTACACATAGCCAGCACAGTCCGAAATGGCGCCCGGTGTCTGTTCTAGACGAGTATGCGGATTTCCTGTCCTTGCCTTGACATCACATGCACCAGGAGCCCACGCTTACAATGTGTTCTCTTCACTTACAGATGGGTCGCAAAGGAAGCTCGACCGATCAGTTTGCGCCAATTGATGGTCTTTGGCCGTTCCCTGACCGAGTCGAGGTTGATTAGCTCTGCCAACTATGTGCGAACAGAGCTTCCGACGAGGTAAGCTCTAGACTAGACTCTCCAACATCGAGACTACCAGAGTTACAGCACAGCATCTGACTATGCGATCACTCGGACAGAATTGCCCACCGCATCCGCGACATGCAACGGCTCCCCTACGTAGTAGTAACCAACCCACACATGAACGAAGTCTACGACCTCTACTACTCCGCTTTCGACACCTTCCGCAAGGTCCCCGAAATCAAAACGCTCGAAGACAACGACGCCCTATGCGCCACCATCCGCTCCAACCTGAAAGCGCACCTGACCGTGATCCCCAAGCTAGCCATGGGCATACTGGAGTCAGCCGGACTCATGGACGCCAAAGAGCTAGACAAGTTCATGAACACAATTCTACGATCTCGCATCTCGCGCCGTGTCATCGCCGAGCAGCACTTGGCTCTAACCGACACCTTCCACGCCCCTTGGTTCTCCCCCGGCGCCAAGCTTTCGGAATCCGAGTTCATCGGCGAAGTCTTTTTGAAGTGCGTCGCCAAGGATGTCGTCGAAAGATGCGGTCAGGCCATCCGCGACATCGCGCAGCACGCATATGGGCCCGACGTGGCGATCCCCGAGATCAAAATCGACGGACACCTGGAGGCCAATTTCCCTTATATCCTCAGCCATCTCGAGTATATCATCGGCGAGCTACTCCGTAACTCGGTGCAGGCCGTGGTGGAGAAACACCAGCGTTATAAGGAGAAGGTAGCGGCAGCGGGAGGGAAAACCGACGAGATTGGCCCGCCGCCCGCGATCGAAGTGACAATTTGCGAAAGCCAGCAACACGTCATCATTCGCATCTCGGACCAAGGTGGCGGCATTCAGCAGGACGTCCTGCCGTACTTGTGGTCCTTTAGTAAAGGGCCTGCGAGTCAGCAGCTGCTGACGAATCTGGAACAGGTGCCCAAGATGGCCGCGACGATGCAGGAGCTCAAGGTCGAGGGAACTACCTCTAGCGAAGCTGGGACAACGGTGGGCAAATTGCAACAACAGCGGCAGGAACAGCAACAGCAACAGCAACAAAAACAACAGATCAAAGGCATTCACAACGGAAACAATTTCCCCGGCGACCCGGGTTACTGCAATTCGTTGGCGACGCTGACAAGCCGCCCGCCGAACCTACGCCTGGGCATGGGGTTGCCTTTGAGCAGGGTGTACGCTGAGTACTGGGCTGGTAGCCTGGCGTTGCATAGTCTGGAAGGGTATGGGGTGGATGCGTTCTTGCAGATCTCGAAGCTGGGGAACAAGAATGAGCAGCTGACGACGCGGGCGACGATGGATGCCGTTTAGAGGATATCCAACGAAGTGCAAGTGAGATGGGTGGAATGGGAGGAGGAGGGAATTATACCCAGAAATTATTACTTTTATGGTTCGGTTCAGAAGAGCATAGGAAGGGCATCACAGTGACCTGGTGTAACGGATAGATTATTCACGCGTGTGCTAAGTCGGGCTTGGTGTACGGAGCAACCTCTTGTATTTTTCACGCAATATCGTTAACTGGGCATGATATGGAAATAGCAACTCACTTTAGTAGCACAAGCTGTGCTCAGCTCAGTGACCGTTGTCAACTCTCAATTTGAAGCACTACAGTCATAAAGTCGAAGCTTGTACTCAAAAGTGGTAGCCTTTCTCATTATTTGGTATCATTGAAAGGGGGGTTGCTATCAGAATTACATCGTAGCTAAGACGGACAGAAAAAAAAAAACTGGCGTGATGGGGTAAAGTTAAGTGTAAAGGGTGTGGTAAAATGTCAGTTGCCGCTCGAAATCTTCCAAATATCTGTAACTTTTCATCCCCATCTCCTGGGCCTCCCTGCGCGACTCGGGCTATGCAGAAAGGGTCTGTGGAAGATGAGGGAAACCCGGGCAAGTGTATAAAAACATGAGGAGCCTCTCCTTCTATAACAAGCCTCAATTGATGACCGCGCCATCCTACCAAACCGTAGCATATCCATGAACATCGTCTTTCAAGATATGTAAGTCGCCCAGTTCGTCTTCACGTAAACATGTCGAAAAAAAATCGAGGCGCAGGTACATTAATGCTCGATAGAACGGGAGACGGTGGTCACCCTTGTAGAGGATACCGCAAAAGCCGTGATAACCGCTTAGCGGCGACCGTGGCTGCGGACGGCATTTCCCTGCAGAGACTCGAGCTCCATCTCGAGGGACTTGATCTGGGCGTGGGTCTGTTCGAGGTCCTTGTTGAGACGGTCGCGCTCGGCAATGAGCTTTTGCTCCCACTGCCTGAAACGCTGCTCCTCGATCTTGACCTGTTCTGTGAAGCGCTTGCGGAGAGCCTCCTCCTCCTCCTTGAACTTGGGGTTGTCGAGCTTCCGTGGGCGAGCCTCGCCGAACTTGCGGGTCTCCATTTGCTGGGCGCGGTAAGCCTCGTAGTGCAGCTCCTCTGTTGTGTGGATAAGGTCCAACATGTGGGTGCGGATAAGAATCGAACGGAGCTTCTTGAAGTCGCAGTGTTCCTCGTTCTCGACCTCGGCCACACCCCACGAGTATTGACGGCCCTTGACAATACGTCCATCGCTGGTCTTAACATCCTTCTCGGAGCCGATAACGGCAAAGGGCATAGCGGCCATCAAGCTGCGTGCGTGTTGTGCGGCAGCCTCGTCATCCTCCTCAATAGGTGGCTGATAGATCTTGATACCCTGAGCTTCGATGACGGCACGGATCTAAAAATCATTGTTAGCGATGACGGGGGGTATGTTCAAGGAAAGGACAAAACTCACCCTGGACTTGAACCTCGCCAGGTCGGCAGGGCTGAGAGTGTCGGCCTTGGCAATAACGGGAATGAGGTTGACGCGAGAGCAGAGTCTCTTCATGACCTCGATATCTAGGGGCTTAAGCGTGTGGCCGGTGGGGCGGATGAAGTACAGGCAGGCGTGGACACGGAGATCAATCTTGTCCTGACGGCGGGGTTGTTGCTCCTGGAGCATGTAGGACTCGTGCTGGTCGTCGAGGAATTCGATAATGGGCATCCACGAGTCGCGGTTGTTGACGTAGTCACCAAAGCCGGGGGTGTCGATAACAGTCAGGCGAACTATAAGCTGGTTAGACAGAGCTCTCTTACAAGACACCAAGGTCCCCCTGCGTGATCTGCTGCCGTACCCTTGAAGAACTTCTCCTCGAGCTCGGCTTTTGTGATTTCGATCTCGACGGTCTTGTCGACCTGCTTCTGGTGGCGCCTCTTGTGGTCGGCATAGTTCTTGATGGTCGTGGAGAACAGCGTGTTGATGAAGGTGGTCTTGCCGAGGCCAGACTCGCCAGCAACCTATTCACTCACGCCGTCAGCATTGGTTTTACAAACACGAGGTTCGGCAAGCTTTGGACGGTGAAGCGCACCATAATAGTAAAAGCAGCGCCTCTCTTAGCAACAATCTTGTGTCGCTGGTTGGGCAGATTGGCAATGCCAATCGGTGAGGCGCTCTCGGTAGTGGCAGGGGCCATCTTCAGCTGGGCGAAACACGAAACTGGGAGATAATTATGGGTAGAGGACTAAGTCACGATCCCGTTGCTGTAACGGCGAGAAGAAGCACCGGCAATTGGAGAAAAAGAGCGTCAGGCGGGATGCGTGGTGTACGGGTATGGTGGTGGTCGTGAATGGGAATCGAAATTAGGTTGGTGTTGACAGTGGACGGGTGGGAGCGAGAGACAGACGGGGGATGGAACTGCAGTGGTGAGTGGACGGGGACCCGTCGTGGAGCTCTGTGCTTTCGTTCAGGGGAATTTACCTGTTCAAATTTCCACACCACATTCATCTGGCCCAACCCAGCACCACACACCCACGCAGAAGAGAGCACCAGCGACGGGGACGGGAGCGCCAGGCCAAAGCCCACCCCAGGAAGCACTCCAGGCACTGCAGGGCCGCGGCAGCAGACGGAGCAAGCAGCGAGCAAGCAGCATTCGATTTCCTCCAGATGATGAGGTGCCTGGGCGGGGGCACGGCAGCCGTCTGTGATGATGCCGGGCGAGAAGGCGCACGGTACACGATCCATATGATCCAATGGCACCTTTCGAGCCCGGCATTCTGCAGTAGTGTAGAGCTGCCACCAAACAAGGCCGCTCTTGACTGGCTGCGCGGCAGGGAAATGAGTGGACCCTCCCCTTTTCCACCTACTTGCTACCCACACTTCCCCAATTCCAGGTCCCCAGAGACGGACGCTGGCAGCTCTCCACTGAAACGCGCTTGCCAGGTACCCTCGCCGAGCATTTAATCGATGCGTGCCTTCCCTGCTAGCGCCATTGGCGGTGATCAGCCATTCATCGCCATGGAAACTTTAGTTGGTCGACCCTTTGACCCTTTGATTGCCAGCTCTGCCAGCCTTGCACTGTGCTGACCGTGCGTGGCCTCGCTGCGCCGGTCGGTGAGGCTGCCAGACATGCCAAGCCTTCTGCCAGCTGGTGCCGAAGCGAGGAGCTCACCCGACTCCATTCCCCGCCAAAAAGTTTATGAAATTTTTGGCTGGCAGAATCGCCATTGAACGTACGGGCGGTCTAGGCGCAACAGCAGCAGCCTGTAACTGAACTTCTGTTCCACTTATACAGACTCGGAAGAGTCCTCCAGTTCCTGTACATAATCGAATCCCCAGATACTATCCCAGTTCCGCTCCATCTTCAACATTGACAGTCGAGGCATGGAATAGTGTTTGACAATGAAGACCGACTTCAAGTTTTCTAATCTACTGGGCACAGTCTACTGCCAGGGCAATCTCTTGTTCAGCCCGGACGGTACTCATCTCTTCTCGCCCGTTGGCAACAGGGTGACAGTCTTCAACCTTGTCGAGTACGTCTCGAGACTCCCTACACCTGCCGGGCGCATGGCTTGTAAGCTGGCTAACACGGTCGCAGTAACAAATCATATACCCTTCCCTTCTCCCACCGAAAGAACATTGCGCGTATCGGTCTCACGCCCCAGGGCAACCTCCTACTCTCCATAGACGAAGATGGCCAAGCTATTCTCACCAACGTGCCCCGGCGCGTAGTACTATATCACTTCTCCTTCAAGGCCCCAGTAACGGCTCTCTCCTTTTCGCCATCGGGGCGCCACTTCATTGTTGGACTCGGCAGGAAAATCGAGGTTTGGCACGTTCCCTCAACACCCGATGCCAATGCGGACGGCGAGCTCGAGTTTGCGCCCTTCGTCAAGCACCATACCCACGTCCAACACTTCGACGATGTCCGTCACATCGAGTGGTCCCACGATTCGCGATTCTTCCTCACATCTTCCAAGGATCTCACAGCAAGGATATGGAGTGTTGATCAAGAGGAGGGGTTCACACCTACGGTTCTGGCCGGTCACAGGCAGGGTGTCGTGGGCGCGTGGTTTTCCAAGGATCAAGAGACGATATACACAGTCAGCAAGGACGGCGCCGTTTTCGACTGGCAATACGTTGCGAAGCTTGGACAGGACGAGGATATGGTGGACGATGATGACCTGGCGTGGAGGATAGTCAACAAGCACTATTTCATGCAGAACAGCGCCACCGTACGATGCGCCGCTTTCCATCCCGAATCGAACTTGCTGGTTGCCGGTTTCTCGAACGGTATCTTTGGCCTCTACGAAATGCCCGACTTCAACATGATCCACACTCTCAGCATCTCCCAGAACGAAATCGACTTTGTGACGATCAACAAGAGCGGCGAGTGGCTGGCGTTTGGCGCATCCAAGCTTGGTCAGCTTTTGGTCTGGGAGTGGCAGTCTGAATCGTACATTCTCAAGCAGCAGGGCCATTTCGACTCGATGAACTCCCTCGTTTACTCTCCGGACGGTCAGCGGATTGTCACAGTCGCCGATGATGGAAAGATCAAGGTGTGGGATACGGAATCGGGATTCTGCATTGTCACCTTCACAGAGCACACTAGCGGTATCACTGCTTGCGAGTTCTCCAAAAAGGGCAATGTCCTGTTTACCTCGAGTTTGGACGGTTCTATCCGGGCTTGGGACTTGATCAGATACAGAAACTTCAGGACCTTTACAGCACCAGAGAGGCTATCGTTCTCTTGCATGGCTGTTGATCCTAGTGGCGAAATCGTGGCGGCTGGCTCCGTTGACTCTTTCGACATTCATATTTGGTCTGTTCAGACTGGCCAGCTCCTAGATCGTCTTTCGGGACACGAGGGCCCTGTGTCATCCTTGGCCTTTGCGCCTAACGGCGGTCTTCTTGTGAGTGGTAGTTGGGACCGCACTGCCCGTATCTGGTCCATTTTCAACCGCACACAAACAAGCGAGCCTCTCCAGCTCAACTCGGATGTTCTCGACATTGCCTTTAGGCCAGATTCTCTCCAGATTGCCATCTCCACACTCGACGGCAACCTGTCGTTCTGGTCGGTCTCGGAAGCTGAGCAGCAAGCTGGTCTTGATGGGCGCAGGGATGTCTCCGGCGGTCGCAAGATTGGTGATCGCAGGACTGCGGCCAATGTTGCCGGTACCAAGGCTTTCAACACCATCAGATACAGCACAGACGGATCGTGCCTTTTGGCCGGCGGAAACAGCAAGTATATCTGCTTGTACTCCGTCACCACCATGGTACTCCTGAAGAAGTACACCGTGAGCGTCAATCTTTCAATCCAAGGCACTCAGGAGTTCCTCAACAGCAAGCTTCTTACCGAGGCTGGACCCCAGGGTCTCTTGGACGAGCAAGGCGAGGCCTCCGATTTCGAGGACAGGATAGACAGGTCACTCCCAGGCTCCAAGCGCGGTGACCCCTCCGCACGGAGGAAGAACCCCGAAGTGAGAGTAAACGGCGTTGCCTTCTCGCCGAACGGAAGTGCCTTCTGCGCCGCCTCCACAGAAGGTCTTTTGATCTACAGCCTGGACACCACCATCCAGTTCGATCCTTTTGACCTCAACATGGAGATTACACCCACCTCTACCCTGGCCGTGCTCGAGAAGGAGAAGGACTACCTCAAGGCTCTCGTCATGGCTTTCCGCTTGAACGAGGCCGGTCTGATCCAGCGTGTCTTCCAGGCCATCCCTTACACCGACATCCCTCTGGTGGTCGAGCAGTTCCCCAACGTGTACGTTGCCAGGCTGCTGCGGTACGTTGCCGCGCAGACCGAGCAGAGCCCACACGTTGAGTTCTGTCTTCTTTGGATCAAGGCTCTGGTTGACAAGCACGGCGCGTGGTTATCTGCCAACCGCGGCAAGGTCGATGTTGAGCTTCGTGTTGTCGCAAGGGCTGTTTCCAAGATGAGGGATGAGATCAGGAAGTTGGCCGATGAAAACGTCTACATGGTCGACTACCTCCTTGGTCAGGCGAGCGCTGCTAAGGAGACTAATACCACCAAGACCTTGGCGCTTGAGTGGGCTACCACCGACTCGGATGAGCAGCCGGGCGCTGGTGGTATGAGCCTGAACGATGTCATGCAGCAGGATGAGGGGAACGCCAGCGAAGACGAGTGGATCGGTTTGGACTAGGTCCTAGGATCTAGAGTACTATAGGATTTTTGTAACGGTAAGGAAGGGTACCACACATAGGATAGGCGCTGATACGGAAAATATTTGTCAACCGGCATTCTAGTTTATAACTTGTACAGATGATTTTGATACCAATTCATGGCAATAGAGAAAAGAGGCAATTTTGGAATACAACTACAACGCCATGCGAAACTGTGTGAAAGCAATGCTATACCCCCCTAGTCCAACCTTTGTGGATTGCTGGGTGCTCTTTACTCGACATTCGGAATATCCTCCCATGCCTCATCGAACCCACAGCTACGCACCCAGTTTGGTCCTGGTGCGAGGACCGAGTCGACAATCAGGTGGTAGACCTTGTTCCAGTAATCGCCATCTCTTGTTTGATAATAGAGCTGGCAAATCCGTGCAGCTCGGGCAAGCTTGATGCTGTGGCCATCGTCCTCAAAGAAATGGAGGTTGGAAATGATTTCTTGAAAAACATCAGTAAGTAGCGGTTCAAGGCCGAGAGAAGCGAGGTAACCATCAACTCACCTTCAGGAGTCCCAGATGCCTCCTTCTCCTTAGGCTGATAAGAAGTAATAGCATCAAGCGACAGCTCCGGCGCTCCACGCGCCGCATACTGAACCAGATCCATCCTGATCTTCCACTCGAGAAGACGGACCTTGGTGTCGAGTGATATCCAATCTTGTGCGTTGACTGTCGTGAAAAACGGTGCTGAGGTGACATGGTGCCTATAGAAAGCCGTCAGTCGGTCAGTATCAATCTTCCCGTCCAACTCCTTGCCTACCCCTTCCTGAATTCAAGGGGGGCGGCGGTACGTGACCAGAAACACCCAAACCAGACGAAGAAACTCACATCAAGAAGAAATCAAACCTTGGCAACTTCGTATCCCTCTTCACCAACGCCGCCGCACCCGCCATAAACACCGCGGAATCATACATCTCCGCCGTCCTCTCCTGCAACTCTTCCTTTCCCACCTTCACCTTGGCCGCCAACCGGATCGCCTCCTCTTTGGCCCTCTTCAACACCCCATCCCTAACTTTATTCGCATCACTCATCCTCGCCGCATTCGCCAACTTTTCGTTCCCTCTCACTCCCCGTTCCAACAAGTCCTCCACAACCCTCCCCATAATATCCTCCTCCGGTTTGCTGCTGGCTCTCGCCGCCTCTTTCTCGGCTCCCAGGAGATACCCCCCAATCTCATCCCCATGCACAGCCGCCTGCGCCAACCCCTCCGCCACGATCGCCGGCTGTCTCCATTCCAGGCCGTACATGAGCTGGATCAGCGGATGCAAGAACCCGCTGTACAGCCTCACCAACAAGTTATCCGCCTCGGGCGTGCCCGAGAACAAATACTCGTTCACCACTTCCTCATACTTTCCCCCGCGGGAATCCATCTCCCGCTTGAAAAAGGCCAGGAAATCCGGGTAGTGCGCCTCTTTCCCCAGGTACTTGCCTGCGTCGTCCCGCCAGTTCTGGATCAAGTCGGACACGACTTCCTGGTGTTCTGGCAACGCAGGGCGTTGATAGGACGCATTAACGTCGTAGGCTTTCTGCAGCGCCTCGGAGGGGGCAGAGGTCCCGTACAGTGCGAGGAGGTGGTGAGGGATGTGGTTGTGGAAGCCGTCTTTGTTGAAAAAGACGTGGTGGTGGTGCATGTCGGCTTGGAGGAGGTCGGAGAGGAGCGTGGAGGCGGTGGGGGATTGAGGGTGGATGGTGGGGGACTTGGACCAGAGGCCGATGTTGGAGGGGGTGATGTTGATGCGGTGGGGGGTTGCTTCGGACATCTTGATGGTTGTGAGGTGAAGACGGCGAGTGGTGGTGATAGTCCTTGGTGGTTTGGGCGAGATGATGGCCTGGCGAAGGAGGAATGTCTTCGTGCCGGCGGGAGTGAAAGGTCGCATTCACGTTGATTTGTGTAGAAGCGACGGGCTGTGGGCTAAGGAAGTTAGAAGGCCTTAAGAGAGGTTCTTGGAGTAAATATAGTTGAATTATATACGTTATAGATCAGGTGGTAGTCGGAGAAGAGGTTGATTCTTGAAGCCAAGAGTAATGGTGTGTTGTTCACTTGATGGAGTATCACGAAGCCCGGTTGCTGTGGTGTTCGCACGTCAAGGTATTCCGAAGTCCGAATGCCGCTTATCTCCGCACTCGAAAGCCAACTCTTAGGTAACTGTTTTCCGTCCTACGCAAGTGCGTAGTAGGCCTATGCTACTCTTACAAATCGAATTGAAATCTGACTGATGCGTTGTTGGGATGAAGCACAGTCTAATAATGCTGGTTTGTTTGTTAGCTTGGTACACCTACTATTACACTAGACGAAATTTATCCCGTATTGCCCCAAACCTCAACGCCTCATAAAGGCAGTGACAAGATGAACATGATGTTTTGAAGAAAATAATGGCGTGTTCAAGGTAAGGTCACGGTTTAATCATGAAATGGAACGAGTTAGTGGAATATATACACGCCTACGGGAGTTGATCCGAGGTCTTGAGCTAACAAACAAATCGGCACTGAGGTGTAAAGTGGTATTAGGCGAGTGTAGTAAGACGGCTACGTCATTGACCCCCTTTCAGTCGTCCACACAGATCAACTACCTCTACCAAAACATTTGTGACCACCGGCCTTATCCGCACCCTACACTTTTAGGTCAGCTCGTCAGATTCTCTGAAGAATAATAGCGTCTAATAATTGAGGACTTCATATATATACATTCCATTAATATTAAGTTTACTGTTCTATGTGATACTGCCTTCCCTTCTCATCACCTTTCATTTCATTGCTCCTTCACTTCCGTGCTTTCCGTCGATATTGATTCCAAGTGCTCTCCTGTACAGTTCCACGCATTATCTATCTCCATCACACATTCAACGTCAAGCATAAGTTCATAGCCAGAGCCGCCCATCATACAAGAGGAGACGCAAAGCAGTGTCAAAAGTAAAAGTTGACCGCTTCTACGCTTTACCAAAAAGCTAATAAGTCTCAAAATCGTGGAACAAGACAAAAAAGCAATGTGCGCTGTTCCTAACTACCTAGAAAAGGGTAGTAAAACCATCAATCCATCCATTCATCCATCCATCAGTTGCCCCATTCCCCAACGCTCCTGTATCCTGTCTAACCAGAGGCCCCGTTTTTAGCCATTGTATGTTTCTACTTCTTCCTTTCTCTCTTTCCAGCGGAGTGTATATGTATATGCGGTATGCTGTAGATAAATAATAGACTTGTGTATCCTTTCTCTATAAGAAAATAAAAGTCACTCAGTGATGGCGCAGTCGAGTGGTATCCTGCTCTTCGATTATTTTGGTAATTCTTCTACGCCTGACGTCGACTTGGGCTGCGGTTCATTTGCTTTCTTGAGGCCTGTTCCGTGATCAGTCGCTCAGAAGTGTCATGATCGTACCCAATGACTTGGGTAAGGTAGTAGTATCTGTTTTCGACGTGTTAGCATATTTGTTTCCGCATCAACATTTTAAGGGGTGGACTCACTTCTCGGCATACGCCTCCTTAGCCCTCAGGTCTTCCCACAGCTGCTGGCACTCCATCCAAGCCTGGGCTCTCCTCCTAGGATCAATCCTCTTCACCAAGAACCTGAACCTGCCGCTGACCGGCCTGTGGTCCGACACCCGTACCTCGTGCCTCCTGTAGTCCAACTGTTCTATCCTGCCCCTGCCACGGTACAAGAGTCTGTCGCACCAGGCTGGGCTACGCTTCTTCTCACTTGTGTCGTAGTTATCTGTTCCAACATCGTATTTGTACGTTGGCGCGAACGTGATCGGAAGCTCATCAAAAGCTCTCAGCCGGAACCCGGGGTTTCTCCTCTTGGCAACAAGCAGTTGGTCACGCTCGAGCAGTTTTGTCAAGTTGCCCTGCTTGACTGCCGTTACTACCGTATCACGGCTCATGGTGTCGATTCGGTAATTGAGATCGCCGTTGAGCACGCATAGTTCGTGGTCCAGAATCATGGTGCCGTCACCACCGCCGACATAGCTATCGATACGCACGGCGGGGTCGCGCTCGGATGGGAAAGCAGACGCATCCAGGATCGCGGCTACGTCGTTATGCCGCTGGTTGGCGCCTGATTGACCCGCAGCCAGATGGCAGTTGATGAAGCAGAGCGAAGTGTCGTCGACCAGGAAACGCACCACGATGGCGCCCTTGTTACCATGTAGACCACCGAGACCGCGCTTGACCTCGTTGCTGCTGAGATTGCTGATGCGTCCACGTAAGTCTGCCTTGACAAAGATGCAAGTAAAGAGGCCGACCAGGGGAGAGGTGTGGAGCAGATGATACAAATCGCCCTGCATATAATCATCCAGACTGCGAATCAGGAAATCACGCCAATCGCGATATTGGTGGCTCATCCGCTCTTGATCAGACCCTTCCTTCTTCTTCGGCTTCAGGAATCGCTTTGCTGTGGCTTTCTTGTCCTCCAGATCCACCAGTTCCTGGAATCCAAAAATGATGATGTCTGGAGAGTCGGCGGTCTGGAGAAGATCCCTGAAGAAATTGGCATCCGAATCAGAATATCGAAGACTGTGAGGAGTTGAAGCTCCCGCGTTCCATGTCATAATCAACACCTTCAGATTCTGGAACTCGCAGTATTCCACGTCTTTCCTCTTCATTTCGCCCTCAAGCCAGTCCTCTTGCAACAGCGCGTCCCAAGTTCGTACCATGTTATCTGCTCCAAGAGAGACAACCTGATACCGGTCAAGCTTGTAAGAGCTCGAACGATCAGCGATCAGCTTGATGACGGGATTTTCGTGGGCTACCCATTCCTTCTTGACGGCCCATGGGGTTTGTGTCACGTCGTAAACAGCTACCTTGCCATTGTTGTATCCAGCCCAGAGATACGAACCGGCTGCGGCAAGTGAGTTGATCTTGAACTGGCTGACATTCATTATACACTGACATGTGTAGTCTTTCCTGGAGTAGACGCTGACTTTTCCGTCACTATGGCCGAAGTAAACCATGTCCGGATCAGATGCAAGCACTGCTCCGGATATCACTTCGCCAGCATCTTGCTGACATAGGGCCCTCAAAAGAACCTGAAACTGTGTCTTCCCGTCCACAGTGGGTTTGAAGACCCGAATATCCTTGCCTGTCGCGTACCATAGCTCGTCTTCCACTACCATCGAGAAAGTGTGACCCCTAGGCACTCGGAACGACTGGCTGGGCCCGTTGGAGAGGGTCGGGGTGTGGCTCTCGTCTGGGCCCCAAACATTGAGGGCTCCGCTGTCGTCCAATGTCCATACTTCGTTAAAATGCCTGTATATCCTAATTATCTCCGATCGGCCATGCGCATTTGGTAGACTGTCCGTGATTCTCTGCGTGCCAATATCGGCCTCCAGCAACTCTCCAAGGTTGTTGCCGATCCACACCTTTGTGCCTTCATCGTCGACGTGCGCCCCTGGTTTGAACATGACCGCGGTTCCCTTTTGCCCTTCACCCATGGACAGGCTCATAACCAGTTCGCCATCCAGTAAACTCCACACGCGTGTATAGCCGCCAGTCGTGCATACGAGTTCGCCGCACACATCAAGCATCCGAGTGTCGTACTTTGTGTAAATCTCATGAACGCCCTTGCTGATGTAAGGTTTGCTCCGGTTCGTGTTTGTTGCGTCAGGATATGCCATTGTAATGGTTGGCCCGGTGTTGGCTGTTCTGGATGAAGTGACCGGGACGACTTCGGGGATGCGTTCGGGAATGCGATCGTGAGTAGGAGCGCTGATCGGGGTTGGTGGTGCGCGGAATTCGTTAGGAACGCGGTTCGATGTCCTATCCACAGTCATGGACCTAACGTGAGTTCTGGACGGAACTGAGGGCTGATACTGATTTGGTGTCGACACTATTCGTTTCTGCGATATGCTGCCGGGAGGGTTTGGATCCAAGTTCGCGTTAACACCCGGCTTTGGGGGGCGCGGTGGCGGCGCCATCATCATCATCCCATTGAGTGTGCGGCTCGTCTCTATGATGCTGTGCGGGCGAGCTGGGAGAGCTGGCGGTTGGTTCCCGCCTGTATGATGTCGCGTTACCGGGCCCCTAGTACTGCCCATTTCCTCTTCCCTGCCCCGCCTTTGCCGTGCTGCTGAAGGATGAAGGGGTGGTGGATCAAAACCCACGTGAAAGGTCCGCGACCTCTGAAGTCCCTCCGGATTCGGTTCCCTCTGTTGTTGTTGAGCTCTCGGTCGCGCAGGTAGCATCGGCGGGGAGCTATCTTCGTCAGGTGTGCCATTGCTACTAGGCGGACTGCTGAAAGGCGAGATTCTTTCTGGGGTTCGAGTCTTGATATCCAATGCTTGGCTTCTCTCAATCTGAACCGAGGAGCGAGAAGGAATCACGGGCTTTTCCGCCCTGTTAACGGGTGGCGGCACCGGCCTTGGCTTTTCAACGTCCCGGGGCCTTTGTAGTTCAACCGATCGGCGAGGCGGGGGAGGAGACGGAGGCTGTGTAGCGGCCAGTCGAGGCGATCTTTGTGGATCGGAGGTGGCCGGTGTAATAGGGCGACTCGGTATCTTGAATTGCTTGCTAGCGGTGGGAGGCGACGCGACTTTAGCGAGCGAATCGGTCTGGAGGAAAGAAGGGCGCTCCCCGACCGCCACACCATCTACATTGCGGCTCGGTGGTGATTGGGGCGGTTGAACGTTGAGGAAAGGAGGTTGGGCCGGTCGAGGAGCTAACGAGGATATCGGCGGAGGCACGGAACGGATTGGTGAGCTAGAATAACCGGCAGTACTAGCGACACTGACACCAGTGTACTGCGGCTGTAAACTCGGGATATTCGCCCTATCCTTGGGTCTTGTCGGGATGGCGGGGGGTTCGCGTGCCCCCAAAGGACTCGGGTCCCGTAGCCGGTCGGGCTTGGGCGCAGGAGATGTCGTTCTGGCGCTAGAACTGGATGACTGCTGGGTGTCGCCAGCTTTGTTCATGTTTTCGAATTTCGCCAGGAGCGACGAGACTGGTTTCTAGTGCAGCGGTCAGTCAGGCTGTCCTTCCATGTCGCCGCGTCTACGGTACCGGGTGTCCGACGCCTCTAGTGGGCGGCGCCCGGGTCCGAATCCGGGGAAGGGGGGCCTCCAGAGACGGGATAGACACTCACAAGGGATGAGCCATCAGGCCCATCTTTGCTAGCCGGAGGGTCCATGACGGCGGCGAAGGCAGAAGATCAACCGCAAGCTCGGGGTTGCTATGCCCATCCGTATACTATCCACGACAGCCGGTGGACTCTTTTCATCAAACCGGGGGCCTAGGCGAACATGGACACGGGCGGAGACCGGAGACGGCGGGGATAACGAGCGTTGTGAAGCTGTCGCGAAGCGCGTTGGCTCTGGGGTCTGGATTGACACAGAGAAAAATCAATCAAAAATCAGGTAAAAATGAAGGACCGTGGCAGACCGTTTGGCGCAGGAACCCAACAACCCTTTGAGTGATCGAGTTTCAACAGTCTGGGTCGGAGGGAACGAAGGGCGGCGTGCGTGGTTGGGAGAAAGATGCGTCTGGGTTGCCTTGTGGGTTGCTCCTGGCCTGGCGCTGGCACCAGCTGGAGATGGATGACACTGGCACACAATTGGGTCTCCTCTGTCGTCCCTCAGGTCTTGCTGCAGTGTTCTGTTGCTCGGACGGTGCAGTGGGGGACCTGACTGATCTGGGGGAGCCGGAGGAGGCACTTCAGTTCCTTTGGGGCTGTGTCCGGCTCGTGTTTGCAGGCTGTTTTGGAGATGACGATGCGCTGTGGACTCGCCCTTTTGGGGGGCTGGGCCGGCTACGAACCGGCTGCCCTTTTGTTGAAGGTCGAGACTTGATGCTGAAGATCAGCGGGGCCCAAGGGGTACTGCAATCGCAAACAGGGGCAGGTACCTTGCCAAGTGGAAGGTACGTACCTTGGGTAGGTAGGCGAGGTGCCTAGAGGTACCGTACCGTACCGTGCCTCGTCCAGGGCAGGACAAATCAACGGACTGCATAGGTAGGTAACACGACGACAACGGCAAATTGACAAGACACCGGTGAGTTTATAGGGCTGTAAACACCTACCTATGAGGGACGATTGTTTACCATAAGGACGAATCAAAGGAAGAAATGATTTCAAAAAGTCTTGGTGTTTCCCTTACGGCGATGTCATGGCTTTGGTGGTCTGGAATTTGTGTCCTTAGCGCCAAATAGGATCCCACTTTGGCAGTTCATTCGGCCAACATGGCCACGAAGTCCACAGCCAGAAACAAATGGATGACATTCCAGTGTCTCCATATCGTGTTGTGAAGAGTCTGCCTACCTAGGGTTGTTGGTCATCAACTTTACAAATTCTTTGTTTCAGCCTTCCTCCTCCATTTGACAAACGAGGGACAGAAAGGAACGGGACGAAAATGGAAGCATTGCACCCACGGCGGGATCTAAAAGCAACGAACGGTTGGCAACAGATGCAGGTACCGCGAGTTTAGGTGGTTTTCGAGCAGCGTTCCCCTTGGTATCCAAAACATGACGGGTAGCTAAGGTACCTAGTCAGAGTCCCCTCAGGTCCATTCCATGTCTCCTCCTTTCCCCTTTTCGGTTCAAGGACGATGTAACGACGGAGCGGGAAATGGGTTTTGATGTTTGAATTAAAGGACTGCTAGCCCGTCTTCTCAATGCCTTCATTCCGCTATTTCAAATTGTTTCCGACTAGGCGTCTATCGAGTGTTCAGCAAGCTGACTGCCCGACTTCCAAAGTATCCCATTCCACCCCTCAATAATTGTGCATACCTACCCAATGATGGAGCCCCCTTCCCCCCCAAGTCAGTCGACCATACAGATGAAACCGCCAGCGGCCTAGACCAGCTTCTGATCAGAGTCTTAAACATAAACTTACTGAACGATTTGATTTTCCTATGTTGCATAAAGTGTTCTCTGTAACAGAAACAGCATTGGCGCCCCTTAGGAGCATCATATCCGCTTCTCACTACTATCTTTCGCTGATAGATATATGCAAGTAAAAGCCAGTACGACAGTGATAGAAGCCTGTGTACAGTGGCAGAAAAGCTTTGAGGTTAGTGTTCAAAGATACTGCTGGCACGATTCTCTCTTTCCAAGCTTCATGTCCTAAATCTTAGATGCTGTTTTTCCATTTTTCTAAATATTAATTTTTTTGTTCATTTTTTCTGTGAAGAATTCGGACACGGAGTTGGACTCCGAGGCTGCCCAAATCCAATACGTAACTATCTCCCTATTGAATTCTCAATAGGATATCGGTATATATGCCTGGCAGACACCTTCGTTTTGGTCTTGAGAGGCGCGGACTTCTTCTCCTAAGGAACATCAATCGACTCTGTTCTCTTCATGTCGCTCGCCATAGCTCCAACCACACTTTTTGTTTCGCTTCGGCGGTCGCTGCTTGTTTTTTTTTTTTTTTTTTTTTCTCCTCTAAGGCATAGCAAGAAGCGAAGAGGTGAATTGGCTGGTAGGCTCAGTGCAGCTGTTGAAATTGATGGCTGTTCATGGTCAAATTCTGCCTCGCGTTGGCGGTTGACAGGATATCTAACGTGGCAAGTTAGTATAGTACCTTTCCAAGAGCAGGGCAGTGGTTGCTTGAAAGCCTAGCTAAATCAAAGACGATTCATGGGTAGTACCCGCGTGGGTTCACCTTCACTTCTCGGAGCGGATATCAAAAGTTGTTCCTAACTGACAGAACAGAACAATGTGTAGAAACCGCCCTACGACGACAGGAAGAAAAGCGCAGTATATCTTGCACAAAGCCGTAGGCCTTCCATACCGTTCTAATCTGCGGGAGCCTCTAGATTAGGTTGGCAGGTAAAGCTTCATCATCTTGTCAGCCTCCGAATGGCGCGTGCCGTCGTACATCGGAACATTTAGGTAGATGGATAGTAGCTACACAATATAGAGAAACGGACGACGAGGTACCTGGTAGCTGGCGATGACAGATGCTCTCTTATCGTGCACGATGTAAACAAACCCCTAAATCGGGGTGGAACTGTGGGTCAACTGAGCGAGACGGGGAACCCAGCCGTACAAAGCGATTAATCGGGTTTGATCCCATGACTAAGTAGCAGACTTCTTTGAAAAGTTCCTTCACAAAATTCACGGGCCATGACCGATACGTGACCGATTGTATGTGCAGAGAAAACGGTATCAAAATGTCGAGAATAGCTTAGGAATTGAATGTTTCTTGTCCGCTCGGACCAAGGTCTTGTGCACTTGCCTGCCGGATACCTAAGCGATGTCGCTTACCGGGGTCTTGCATCGTTCGATCAGGGTCTGTGCAGCTTGGCTTCTTGAGCATCGTATCACCCCATCGAGACAAAATCGACAACTCCAAGGGTCCAAACCAAGGAAGCGTCTTTGACTTAGATTGTACCTCTGATTCTTTTCTGAACTTCTCGAAAACCAGTCGCTTCAATCAACCCCGATTGCGAAGAATACCGACAACATGAACACCGTAGGTTTCGCAGGCGCAACATCCACACTGGCATAGCAAACAAGACGCCAAGCTAACGTCATACCTCTTTCCCTCCGTCTAGGTCAAGTCTTTCTGGTGAGCGCACCATTCAACCGCAACACCACCACGCCGTCGCCGACATCAGGAAATCCTCATGACCGGCTAGCTAACCTGGATCCTTAACTCCACAGGCTCGGTTGGGGCTCTCTGTGCGTTGGTACGTTGCAAACCGTTTCACTCCGACAATAAGACGATAACGAAGGGAAGAGAGGGAAACTAACGCTCTCCCGCAATCGCACAGGTGGCGCCGCCGCGTACTATTTCGCCAAGAAGGAGATCAATGCCTCGCGCCGTAACCAGCTCGAGGAACTGCGCCGCAAGAAGAGCATGGCTAGCTCGATGGAGCAATCGGAAAACCTTCAGTCCCAGTCCCTCTCTTCGTCAGCCACGGGCGGATCTGCCACCTACAACGGCTCTCCGGCACGGACGGACTCGGCCGGCTCACCCAGCATGGAATCTAGCAACGATCCGGCGCCGACGAGACATGCGCCTTCGACCGAGCGCGAAAGGGTATTCGAGAAAAGCAAGTACGAGGCTAGCGTCCCATATTCCAGCAGGAAGGGGGATCGATTCTCTTGAAGTGGAAATCGCCACGGAACAGCAAAAAAGAGAGTAGGAGATATACACATGTATGATACGACAGCAAGGGACTCTGGCCTACCCCAAAAGTTAGACATGGGAATGCGGCTGGTTGGTTCTAATTCGACGTACATGAAAGCCGCGGTTTCGATGTTGCTTAGCTGACTAGCTACAACTGGGCCTCGTTTCGTATGCTTGTTTTCCAGTTCAAGAGTCTTGAAATGAAATACCCAGGTGATCGGGAAAAGCTCTATGTTTTGCGTCCATGGATGCAGGCAGACACAAGTATAACCAGCGCGAGGCCGAATTGGTCCAGCGCGTCCAGTGACGCCGCTGTTTACTGTGTGAAAGAGCACAAGCAGAGAGAGCTTTGACCACTTTGCGAGTCGTGCATTATTTTACAATGCATTTACCGTAAGAGGCTTAGATGCATAATTTAATGCAAGGTTCTGCTGCAGATGAGGATGCTCTTGTCCAATCAGTGCCATCAATCGCAGCATAGAACCATGTTCCCTTAGTTTGCGTTTGCGGTTAGTTTCCTACTTATTCATCAACTAATCCATCTCACTTTCTCCATTGCTGTCTCTACGCCGCGCGCTTGGACGCCTCACAATTTGTTTATATAACGACTTTCTCTTCACGACTCAGGATCGCAACACACATACGACACATCTTCAGACAATTAACTTCTCTTTTCCGACGCTCTCGCGATGGCATCGACGTCGGCAGAGCTGATCGTCGCCAAAGCGGCCCTCACAGGCGCCCTTTTTCGAGCAGACCCGCAGTCCTGTTCTCGCGACGAGATCGAGTCGACGCTCACGTTGCTGAACACGGCCACCGCCGAGTGCTCGCCCTCCAATGTCCAGGTTTGAACACACATGCTCAATGAACAGTACACCTCTTGTCTATAAGACCAATTGCTAAGTTGTGCGGCATATCTGTTTGCCCCGCGCCGTATGTTCAGAAATGCAAGCAATGGGCTCTCACCAACCTGGTTCCGTCCTCTATGCGGATCGCTCCCTTTTGCAAGTACCTGATCGCACTCGTCAAGTCGTATGGCCAGGGCCAGGCCAAGGATCTCACCGAGAGCGAGAAAAAGAAAGGCCGTGAGACGTCAGTCAAGCGCAAACGTCTCCATGCCCTCTACCTCCTCAACGACATCCTCTACCATGTCAAGTTCCGCAACCACGATGACAGCTTCGCTCCCAAGTTAGAACAGGCGCTTCTCGTTTTGGTCAGCAGCGCCTCTTCGTTCACCAACTGCCCGAAGCACATTCGCAAAATCCAGGACTTGATTTCACTATGGGAGGAAAAGGGCTACTTCTCAAAGGCTGTAGTCAAGCAGCTACGGGTGGCCGTAGAAGACGGGCCATCATCGAATGCTTCTGTCCAGAACACTGCGCAGCCGACTGCCACATCTACCAGCTCAATCCCTAAGCCCGTAAGAGCCGCTCCTTATATCATGCCAGCCATGCACGGCGATCCGTCCATACCATGGTACGACTTGCCGGCAGGCAACTGGATGCCCGTACTAGAACCAAACTCTACGAGGCCCATGAACCCCGATATGATTAAGCCCCTTGTGTTGCCCGCAGGACCGGCAGAGAAAACACTCGTGCAGGCGGTTCAGAAACTGCTCGTCGATGTGGACAACATCTTCTCCAAGGATGCCGCGAACCTTGATGGACCTACACCTGAAATTGGGCAGATGGGAGAGGTCATAGAGATCGATGAGATCACTGGCGAGGTCATCGGAGGTGAAACCTACTATGGCTGGTCTCGAAACTTTTGCGAGAAAATGAAGAAACGGAATCAGCGCGGAGCTTCGGGCAACGACAGCCGATCGCGGACTCGAGAAAGGACACGGTCATCGAGGTCGAGGTCGAGGTTGAGGTCGCGCTCATGCAGCCCCAGTCGAAGTAGAGACTCGAGCCGGGGATCTGATGCCAGACCTGCTTTCAAACGTCAGCGGTTGTCAGAATCGCCAGAAAGAAGGTATCGGAGCCGGAGTAGATCAAGAAGTCAAAGTCGCAGCCGGAGCCGGAGCCGGGACAGGAGCCGTGACAGAAGTGCCCGTAGTCGTGGCTATGATTCACGCAGTCGCTCCAGGTCTCGCTCACGGTGTAGATACAGGTCTAGATCCAGATCAAGGTCAACAAGTCGTCCAGGCTTCCGAGAGAGGAGTCCAAGGTACGGTTCCCGTGGTCGAAATCGCTCTGAGTCTCCTGCTAGATTTAGAGGAGGACAACATCAACAACCACCTTATCATGCTCCTCCGCCGCTTACCGGCTTTCCCACGGGGATGCCGCCTCGCCCACCACAGCACCCGGGCGTCTTCGTACCGCCGCCCCCACCCCCGCACAACCAACCAGTCGGTAATTTTCATCCGGTCCCGCCTCCCATGGGCTTTCCTGTTGCTGCCCCTCCTCTCCCAGGACAACCTCACCAATTCCCCAGCTTCCCAGTTCCACCCCCTCCTCCCCCTCCGCAAAACTACCAAGGGCAATGGCCACCTCCGCCGCCCGGCCCGCCACATCAATACCCTCAGTATCCTCAACATCCAACTCCTCCGCCGCACATCACTACCCCGTCGCCGCCGCCGAACTTTTTCCCACCCGGTGGCCCGATGGCTGTACCTCCTCACCCTCCCCCATTCGCTCCTTCTTCGGGCGGTGCTTGGCCGCCTCCGCCGCCGCCGCCGCACTCGAATCAACCTCCCCATCATGCTCAGCATCAGCAGCATCAACCCCAGTATCATCAATCTCAGCAGCACCAAGGTCGTGACTATCAAGGGTTTTCCCAGCACCAGCCGCGCGATTATCAGCAGCACCAGCAGCAGCAGGGACGTGAAGGAGACTATGGAGGAGGAAACGGACCGGGTTACAGAGGTGGACGCGGAGGTGGAGGGGCCGGACGTGGAGATTACGGTCGAGGGGGGTATGGAGGGCAGCGTGGTGGTGCCCCGTGGGGTGGTGGTTGGGCGTGATTGAGTAAGTGAGCAAGCAGGTATCTTCTGCTGGGTTGGATCGGTAGAATAGGGGGAGTTAAGGAAATGGTTATTGATGACGTACAGAGACCAACAAAATTATTCACCGTAGAAGTGTTCTTATCGCGTGCTTGGGATCCTGAACGTGACTGAGCTTAAAGTGAGTGGTCAAGTATCACCGTGGAAGGAAATAAACGCCAGAAACCATTTGACATATCTCTTGACGAAGGAATATAGACTTCATTCCACGACGGAGAAAAAAAAAAAAAAAAAAAAAAAAAAAAGAAACAAAATAAGTACATACGACCATACCCACTGAAAAACTCGGGATCCCGTCTGCTCTCCTACAAATAAGCTAGTAAGGATTAGATGCTGCCCTTGTATTTTCGCTACGATAGACTACGGTCTATGCTGAATCTTGTCGCTTTTTATCCTCATCCGCCTTGCGCCCCTCCTCCTTGAGCTTCTCATCATCTGGGCGAGACAATTCGACCTGAGGCAGCATGAAGAAGGCAATGACAAACGCCAGTGCGCAAAGAGCTGCCCCAGTCATGAATATGATGCGGAACCCCTTTCTATACGCGGGAATCAGGACACCACGGATTCTGTCGGCTTCGGCCTCGGAGACGGTCCTTAGATACATCTGTGGGTTACTTAAAAGAGCTTTGGATGCGTCATGGTCGATGTCGAGAGACCCCAAAGATCCAGCCAGAACATTATTGCTACCAGACATGATTGTATTAGCACTCCAGGTATACACGACGCTACACGTAAGTAGGTATCAAGCTCACATGATTGTTCCACAAACGGCGAGGCCAATGGTGGCGCCAAGATTTCTCACGAAACTGCATGAACTGGTCAGCATATGTTATGTTGGGGCCCTCGTACCTTGACTTACTTGCGGAATGAGGTGACGACAGCCATGTCACGTCTAGCCACGCCCGCCTGGACGGCAATCAAAGCACTTTTGAATGTTAGTAGAGTAACATAGTTAAGAATCGGGGACCAAGACACAAGCCAGACTAGGTAGACTCACGGCTGCAACGTATTCCCAACGCCTACTCCGATGAGGATCGAGTACCCGATCTGCTTCCCAATCCCCGTAGTCTCATCAAGAGTTGACATCAAGCCCAGGCCAACGGCCCAGCAAACCCACCCGAAAAGGATGGACTCGCGGTAGCGACCGATCCAGTGGACCACAAGACCGGACAGAGTGCTGCCTGCCGTTTGGACCAATGTGACGGGCAGCAGCATGGCACCGGCCCTCGTTGCCGAGTACTCGTACACCAGCTGGTAGAAGGACGGGATGTAGTAGACTTGCACGACAAAGTTCCAGCCGTTGATTGCCATGGTGATGCAAGCCCCGTTCACGATCTTGGACTTGAAGATGTGAACTGCCGGATGTCAGGAACTTGAAAACATGTTCGGTAGTCAAGGTAAGAGGAAAGAAGAAGACCCACGGGGAACAAGAGGATATCGTGGACCCTTCCATTGCCATAACACAAAGGCAACGCATGCCACAAAACCGGTAACCAGCGTCGCGATCACATGAGCTGACTCCCAGGGATATTCACCTCCACCCCAGGTGAGCCCCAACATCAGAACTATCGTGCCGGCCAAGGCCACCAAGATGCCGATGAAATCCACTGCCTTGAGCTTCCTGCGAGGGTTGGTTAGCGCGATACATAAACACTACCTACCCTATCTCTCATGAGAATAATAGGTAGAGGTACTCAACTTACACTTTCCAGTCACCCTGGACCTTCTTCAGTGGCATGAAGAACACCACGCCCAAAGTGGTAAGCACAGTCAGGGGCATGTTGATGCGGAAGATCCATCGCCACGAGTCCTCCGACTTGGACGACAGCGCACCGCCAATCACGGGGCCAATACCATTGGCAATAGCCACTACGGCACCCTTTTTTTTCCCATTACCATTATCAGATGCTGCGGTTTTGGACGGCCAAGAATAAGATAGACAGGTGGCTAACTCACAATAATGCCCTGGTACTTCCCCCTCTCCCTTAGCGGGACCACATCACTCACAATCAGCTGGGCGACCGTCATCAGCCCGCCGCCGCCGATGCCAGTAAAGGCACGGAAGATGGTCAGCTGCAGCACGGACTGCGCCAGTGACGAGGCCAGGGATCCGAGGAAGAAGATGGCGAGGCCGGTGAGGAGGATGACTTTGCGCGACCAAATGTCCGACAGCCGCCCGTACAACAGCTGGCCGACGGTTGAGGTTCTGGAATCATCCAAACAGTGTCTGGTTAGCGCTATTTGGACGTGGATGTACTGGTAGATAGGTAGGTAGGTTTGCGCGCGAAGGTCGAAGGAATCATCCTACATGAAGTAACCGTTGGCTATCCACGAGACCTGCGAGGTGGACCCCAGGGCGTTGCCGATGATGTACAAGCTGGTCGCGAGCGTGGTTTGGTCTATGAGTGCCAAAAGGTCGACGCCCGCGCAGGCGAGGAATATCTGCCATGGTCAGTCAGTGTGTGCTCTCGTTTCCGTTCATGTTTCAAGTAATGTGCGACGGGGTATATGTAGGAACACTATACATACCGTGATGATGGTTCTCTTTGGGACATAGTTGGTCTGCTCATTGAACTCGTGGGTCTTGGTGTCGTCATTAGACGTTTTGCTCGTCACATTCATGGACTTCTCAGCTGACCCCAAGACCTCGTCGGGGGTGTTGGTTTCTTTGTCCATGTTTGGTGCTGGTGGCAGGAAGTGAAGATTCAGACGGCGCACAATTCTTGTCCCCCCTCCTTCAAATACCACGAAATGCCCATGAGTCCAGATTTGTTGTTGAGTAAGCCCCATATCGTTCGGGGCGAAATGTCAGGTCGCTACATCCCTCCTGCTTAACTCAGTCCCACGCATCTCATTGCAAAGGGCTTGGCTTAGCTAATGACGAGCGTGTCCCTTGATGGCCGATGTCCCTTATGGCCGGTGTCCCTTGATGGCCCGGTGTCCCTTGATGTCCCCGAGATCAACATGGCCAAGAAGCAGAAGAAAATCGCGTATGGAATTCGGTCGAGGGCGCCCCCCTTTCCTTCCCCGACTTTGCTTCCCCGCCTAACCCTTCGAGCGTCTCGATCACCGTTCTAGTTCCGGGTTGGCGTAGTAGACGGTGGATTCGACGTGATGACGCCGGAATAAGCTTATGCACGGCGCCGATCCACCCGCACTGCCGGACCTTGAGGGACGCAAAGTTAAAGTAACGCAAACTAGCGCAAATCGGCGCGCTCAGTTTAATCTCACTCACTCATTCAGCCTTCCCACTTCTGCCGAAGGCAGTCTCAGCCTAAGTACCTTGGAGAAAAGTGGGGATTGAGCGCAAACCACCGCAACCACTTTTTCCTTTTATCACTGAGCCCTTTCCTTGGTAAAAGTTTTCTAAACTACTAATTATTACTCCTTGTGGATACTAACAGAATGGTCTTGACAAGACAATTCTCATGGTACTTTTAGTTATCTTATACGATGAAAGATGACTGAGCTGCAACCACAAACGTCCTACTTTTTTTTCTCTTTTCTATAGGAAATTACTACCTTTCTAGTTGCATCTCAGCTATATTTCATCTTATCAAAAATCTAAAAGCACCATGAGAATCACTACGTCGAGGCCATTCTGTTGATATATTTGTTTAACTCGTAACATCATATAAACGGGTCAGTTCTGAAGGAAAGGAAAGGGAGAAGAGCTGATAGAAACCTAAAACTTTTCCCTGCAAGGTAATTTTCTATAAAAGAATAATCGGATTTACAAAAGAAAAACATCTTTAGAATCGTCTCTTCAAGGCTAGCTTCAACGTCATCTTTGAATTCTTAAATACCTATTATCTAGCTTGAAAAAACCGAGTGTCTTTTTTGAGGTAGATACATCCTTAGGAACTAGGAGGAGATAGAATTAGAGGCGCTACTCTTGTGGAACAGTTGACTAAAAAAGGCAGTTTCTCTACCCTATAGAATGTATTTTAGGTTACGTAGTCACAGCGAAGGCAAGGACGTGGTGGGAACCAAGAACAAGGAGGAAGAGCCGTCGGCATGTTCTGTTCGATCGCCGAAACAAGTGACGATCCCTTGGCCTGATATGTACGTACCATATGCTCTCCAGTTCTGGATACTTTAGTATCTAGAGCAGTCGCCCCTATTATAAAAGCGTGTACCGCAGTTGTGTTGCAAAACCTTCTCACATACTCGTCAGATCAGCAGCAAAGCTCTTCCACCATGGCAAATCCTTTGAACGTGTACAAGGGACCCGACTCCGTCCGGAGCTACTTCCACCCAGAGTCGTCACCGCCGCTACCCCTGGTTGAGATACCCGACTGCCTCAACCCGTACCGCCGGGATGGCGTCCGCATATATGCAAAGATGATGTCGATGCATCCTGCAAACAACGTCAAATCGATGCCAGGTTGGTGAACCTGCCCGTCCTGATTCCTGTGCTACACGGCCGCCGTCGGATGGCGGGACTGACGAATCAACCCACATGCAACAGCTCTGAATCTTCTCGAGAATAGTGTGGAGAAGGGCAAGACGCAGACGGTTATCGAGTACAGCTCGGGGTCTACCGTGATTTCCATGTCGCTGATCGCCCGCGTCTTTCACGATCTTCACGATGTTCGAGCATACTTGAGCAACAAGACATCCCCGGCCAAGCTCCGGTTGATGCAGTTTTTCGGCCTCGACATGTATGGTGAAGTGCCAGTGATTCCTGCAACATGATCTTCGGTCTGAACTGACGCCGTGGGGCAGAACATTGTTTGGCGGTCCGTCGCAACCCGATCCTGATGACGAGCGGGGAGGCATCCGGGCTGCCGAGAGGCAAGCCAAGGAAGACGACTCCAAGATAAACCCGAATCAATATGACAATGACGACGTTGGTTCCCCCAGAAAGACAAGTTTAAGGTCATATCGACGGCTGCTGACGCCGAGACATGGAATTAGAACTGGAAGGCGCACATTCGGTGGACGGGCCCGCAAATCCTCAGGCAGCTACCGGAGATCAACGTGCTATGCGCAGGAATGGGAACCTCAGGTAGGTACCTTACACTAGGCACGCTCAGTCATCTCCGGGACTGTACGTCTAACGGGATATCGCAGGAACCATGACGGGGTTGGGAACGTACTTCAAGAATGCCAAGCCTACTGTGTACCGTGTCGGGTACGTATGTCCATGTCGTCCGAGTCGTCGAGGGGAGCGCGACCTGACCACATCATGATTTACAGAGTATGCACCGCACCCGGCGACCGCGTTCCGGGCCCGCGCTCACATGCGCTCCTGGCCCCCGTACAATTCCCCTGGAAGTCAGCCGTGGACCACATAGAAGAGGTCGGCTCGCACGACTCCTTCTCGCTGTCTCTCAGCCTCTGCCGCGAGGGCCTCGTCTGCGGTCCGTCATCCGGCTTCAATCTCAAGGGCCTGTACCAGTTCATCGCCAGGCGCAAGGCCGACGGATCGCTCGCCGAGCTGGCGGGCGAGGACGGCGAGATTCATTGCGTCTTCCTGTGCTGTGATCTGCCGTATCAGTACATCAACGAGTACTTTGACAAGCTGGGAGCTGAGTACTTCCCCACGATCCATAACGAGGTAAGTTCATCACAAAGGTCTTGAGGGGTGTGTGACAGGAAATTACCTAACCGAGGTTCTAGCACTTGACCAAGGTAGACCTTTACAGGTACGACGATAAATGGGAGAAGGAACCTGCCGATGCTCTCGACTTGTTCTTCACACAGGACGACGCCCTGGCAAGCGCGTTGGTGCCGATTACGTCCAAGGTAAAGCCCCAGTCTCAAACTTCCATCATCGACTTGCGGCAGCCGCTCGACTTCCACGACTTTCACCTCCCGGGCTCGGTCAATGTGCCTTTTGTCCACGAGGACACACCTAGTCCCTTTTCTGAACCGTACATTCTGGAGTCTCTCTGGAAGAGGCTGGAGGAGACATTCAAAGCGCCGAGCAAGGAGCTCCGAGATCTGCTTCGCGGCAGACGAATCTTGCTTCTTTGCTATGATGGGGATAGCGCAAGGGTGGCGACGAGTGTTCTCAGGGCCAAGGGACATGAGGCGGATAGTATTAAAGGTGGGTTTAAGGCGCTGAGAAGATTGAGAGAGAAGTCGGACAGCGGTTTTCGTGCCAGAAACGATTCCGGCGTGGAGGTCATGGCGGTTCATCTTCCGAGTCATATTCCTGTTGCTGCGCAGGTCGTTTAACCAAGAAATCAGGGCATGGTCATGTGGAAGCTAGTCCAAGATTTGACGTACCAGATACACGAAAACAACATGGCTTTGCGCTTATTTCCCGCATTCCACCGGGCGCAGTTGGCTTTTTGATGACATTGTATACCTAATCTCACGAATAAGTGGTAAGTTACCCAAAAAGGGGCTTGATATCCACACTCCCGAGAGTGTTCCCGAGGATGAACTCGAGAATTCCGCCGACGTTCATCATTATGCCCCCCATGCTGTAGAAGATGCCGCTGGTAAAGGTAACCTACCCTGTCAGCCATAACTCGGAGGGCATCAATACCGACAGAATTGAGCATCCACACACAGTCGCCGCACCACCACCTCCCGCGCCTCTCCATCCCATGAAAGCGCACGAGATGGGAGACGTGCACCTCAAGAAACCGAGGAGACCACTGTTTAAGCCCGAGTCAGCAATATTACCAGGACTCTATTATGCGCATTGCGTGTACTGACATCGGCGCAGGATTCCCCAAGACGCTCCTCAAGTTGCCCTGGACCTGACTGGGTCTTGGGCGACAAATAGAGCTTCTCGAAGAGTTCTGCCAAAATTGACAGACTGCCTGGCGTTTGGAACTTGCGAAGGGCATCGCCGCGGGTCTCGTTGTTGCGAATGTCGTACTGGTTCCCGTCGCCGTCGGTAGCGGACTTGGCGGCGTCCATCATCTCTCTCAGTTTGGCGCGGGAACGGTCTAAAGAAGAAAAGGAAATAGGTATACGGATATGTGAGCGAGGAAGAGAAGAAACAGCAACATGAACGAGGATAAATCTAAGGAGAACCTCGGGACATGAATGACGGGATATAATACCTCCGTCACCTAAAGCTATGGGTGATGAAGTTCGAGTAGCAAAACCAAGAAAGACAAAGAGCCAGAGCCGAGAAAGCGATTAATAGTCGCTATACTCCTCCTCGTCCTCTTCGTCAATGTCCACATCCTCTTCATCCCACGCCTGGGGCTGCTGCCTATGACGAGTTCTTCCCCTCTCACCTTCCTCCCCAATTTCACCCTCGCCACCTTCTCCCTCTTCATCATCTTCCTCTTCACTCTCATCCTCGTCCTCGTCACCAAGTTCCTTATCCGTCCGGTAACCGTAGCCACCCTCGGTCTGATAGCCGCCATCGGTTTGGTAGCCCCCGTCAGTTCGGTAGCCGCCGAATCGATCCTCCTCTTCGTCGTCTTCGTCATCGTAGCCACGCTCGTCATCCTCGTCCTCATCTTCGTCCCCAAGAAGGTCGCCGTCACTAAAGTCGCCTTCTTCTTCTTCCTCTTCTTCGGAAAGACCTTCGAATTCTTCGTCTTCGTTGTCTTCGAAGATGTCTTGGAGGATCTTGGGGGCTTGGACTTCTTCTTCGCCTTCTTCCTCTTCTTCCTCGTCTTCACGATGATCTTGGCGATGTTGCGGTTCGGTGGTAGCGGTTTGACCCCCGCCCGCGGTGGCAGGTGATGGTTTCTTGGTGGTTGTGGGGGTGCTGGTATCAGCCCGGGCTGAGTCTCCGCCGATACTCGCCAATGCTGGATCAAGCGGTACTTCATCCACTTCTGTACCTGGAGCAGCAGCAGAAGCAACAGCAGAAGGTCCCAGACCAGCGGCGGGATCAGCCGGGGCCCGCCTCCTCTCTCTCGGCTTAAGTCCAATCCCCAACAACAACGCCATCTTCTCCGCCTCGCGCTCCTCTACCTCCTTTAGGGGAATCCTAACTCTATAATGCGTCTTCTTCTTCCTCTCCTCCCACCGATCACGCCCTTGCTTGAGGCCCGGCTTGATTTTATTTCTCCCCCTCAGCTGCTCGCACTCCTTTGCCGTGAGCTGCAGATCAGGCAGCGTGATGCCGATACTAGTTCCCGAACCACCATCCCCTCCATCATTCGGCCCCTTGACGGCTTCCAACGTGCACCCGAAATCGTCGTCCGACAGCGTGCGGCCGAACCGGATGGCGAGCATCTTGCACTTCATGATGGCTTTCGCCACCGACCACAGCACGCGGTGGTAGAATCCCGATATCTCGGTGTCGCACTCGGGCCGCACCTCGGCATTTTCAAACAATCGACGGAGGAGAGGATCCGTGATGTCGCACACCTGCCAGACTTTTCCGTCGGTACTGAACGACTCGCCCGTGAACACGTGCGTCTCGCGCGAGCGACGCTCTGACCCTCTTCCGAGATTGGCGCCCTCGCCGTAGCTGTTCCAGTACTTGCCAAAGTTGGTGACGCCTAGCTCGGAACGGCGGACGGCCTTCCACTCGCGGCCGACGGTGCCGATGCGGGTCTTGTGCAGCTTGAAGATCAAGGTCTGGTAGATGCGGTATTTGGGATCGGAGCGGGGGTCGAGGCCGTATTTGACCAGCGCGTCGCGCCACGGTCCGCCCTTGAACTGGTAGCCCGCGTATTGCAGGCAGTGGCGCACCAGCGAGCCACTTTTGGGCAAAGAGGCGAACTTGGAGCCTAGCCGGTTCCACATGCTGCGCCGTGTCCAGATCGGCCGCTCCTCCATTGCCGCCCACATTTCCTTCATGATAAGAGCGACCTGTGGGTCGGCCAGGTTGGGCTGGCGCCGGGGGGCGGACGGGACGGGATACTCGTCGTGCGCAATGAAGTAGCCGGCGGCCGGGACGCGGGAGGTCACGTTGACCACGCGCCGGAACTCGGCTTCAGAGTCGACATCGGAGTCGCCGCCGTCGTCGTCCGCTTGGCCAGCAGTGCCGGGGCTGATTTCCTTGGTGTACGGATTCTGGGCGTAACCGTATTGGAAGGGCAAGCTCATGGGGGTGAAGTTAGGAGGAGGGATCAGGTCGATGTTCTTCCCGGATTCGATACCCGGTTGGATGGCGAACTCCTTGAGCTTGGCGACATCGCCGGGCAGCACCTGGTCGACGAACCGGGACATGAAGGGGGAGTTGCCCATGGCGTACTGGAAGTCGGCAAGGCCGCGGTAGCGGTGCGTGTTGGTGATGACGCCAATGGGCTCAACGGTGTACTTCCCTACATTGTCACTGAGCTTTCGACGGAGAAGCCGAGGGGCGTCTAGCCGGTCTCGAGAGAAGACTTCTTCATTGGGGTTTGTTGTCGTGGACGTGTTGTTGTCGACAACGGGACCCTCGAAGGGATCATCAGTCCCACGTTTGCGCTTCCGCCCCGTACGCTTGGGAACCGTAACTTTCACAACAACATTGTGGGTGAGAGCATTGTGCGAGACAATCGGCCTCACTGTCGGGTCACTGTGTCGTAGATAAAGTGGAATGGATACTTGAGGGCTGGATGAATCAACAATCTGAGGATATTATTGTCAGTCGCAGCCTCAAGCTTCCACGTGATATGGGAGAGAAATATATCCTACAGCCTCGAGTGAGTAGTGTGCAGGAAATGTGTTCATGGCCTTGTCCACATTTTTGATAATCATGGGATGCTCAAGCGCCCCCAATCTCCGAGCAGGCACTGGGCAGCTGGGTGCATGTTCTGTTTGGTCGTTGAGCTCGTCCATCATGTCATTCGGAGAAGCCGGTGATTGCGCATGAATTCTGGACATGTGATTGAAGTTTGGTATTGCGACTGATAATTGCCCGTAAGCTCTGCAAGGATCACAGTGTTAGTGTCGTTGTCGCTTCATCAGCATCGTGGCCGTGATGTTGGACGGAGTCTGAATTGTTTTTTTGACGATGTCAATAAATGGGAGTTGCACAGTGAGGATTATTGCAGGCAGGTTGAAATTGCATGGGTCTACGCGGCGAAATTGTTTTGCAAAGACAGTGCGCATGGTTGAGAAAGTACATGGTACCTCCAGCCAACACTCAAGATGAGTGACGGACTGCTAGGTTGTTGCAGTACCTACTTATTTGCTCTTGCCTTTGTGCATGCCCTGCATAGGTGGTTACTATGCCGTAACGCGGTTGTATTGATTAACATGATTCGCTCTTTCCTTTTAACCATCAAACGAGCCGGAGATATTCATTACCAACCAAACCTTAGAAACACACAAAGACGCTCGTTGATTTATACCATCTGCCCGACCACAGAAACACTGAAGCAAGCAAATGAGGCTTGAAAAAGGAAGGACCTGTGGGGAGCACTGGAAATGGGCCCAAGACACCCTGCATGGCGCTAAATGAACGCCTGCAGTTCATTCGAGTGGAGATCATTGACACCTGTAATTACCAAGACTGGGGCTCGGGGCCACCTCCAAGCACAGACACATCGGTTAAGACTACCGCCCTGATATCTATCGCTGTCCTAACAGTTCCTTGGCTGTTTGATACGCAAATATAGATAGTGCAATAATAGCGTAGTCTACACAACTCTTGAATTGCCTGGTGACATCCGCTTCCACGGCACACCAGCAACGGAACAACATTTCAGCCTCGCCATCCCATTTCCATTCCCTGGACGTCCTTTCGCCCTGTTCGGGTGATCATCTCCAGCCCATCATAAGCGCGCCGGTGTATCTAGATCAGCTTCCCCTTGGGCGCTACTACTACTTCAGGGAATCTGTCCGGGCACTTTTTCGAAACCGAGCTACAACAGAGGAAAGAAAGTGCAGTGTTCTATTTGCCGTTTCAGCCTCGAGCCCTTCTTCACTCTGCGCATGTAATTGTCAAGGACATGGTAACAACAACCGTCCATTTTGGTTTTCAACTATACAGGTACCTAGGTAGGTACGTACTATTAGACTTCCTTGAAGCTTCGTAGTGTACAAGACCCTTAGTAAAACCTGATTCAAGGTTCCGTCCAGGGTCTTTTTAGGCGATCATCACCTTCCCATTCATTTACTTTTGCGTCTGTCCACGACTTTGCTACGTCGGTAGGTACCTACCTACCTTACCTTAGGTACCGTACCTTACCGAGGAGCCTAGAGGTAGGTACCTCTAGTTGACAGCCACAAAACACACCGCTCGGACCTCCAACAACCCAACATAGTGAACCTAGGTAACAAAGTTGGAAGCGAGTTAGGCAACGCAGCGGAGTGAGCAGCTC